TTTTGATTAGCCATGAAATTTCGGATTTGGGAATGGATTTGGGTTGGGATTTAGGAATTATGGTTGAAATCACTGTATTTAGTTTGGGAATGTAGTTGAGATTTGGGATTTGGGATTTGGGTTTGGATTTGGGATTTGGGAACTTACTGCAGGTTAGGCTTGGGTAAATCAATGTATTTAGTTTGGGAATGTAGTTGAGATTTGGGATTAAGGTTGAAATTTGGGAATGTATTTGAGATTAGGGTTTAACCATAATTAGGGTTTAGACATGAATAATGTGATTTGGGATTAGGGAATTTAGCAATTATTTGCTTTGTAGTTTAGATTAGAGTTTTAAATTTGACTTTAAGAGGATATGTGCCTCGGGGTATAGATGAGAGAGAATTAGTAAGTATTTTTAAATTTATTTTAAGTTTATTTTTATTAGAATTTTTCAATATTGCTAAATTATGTTTTTTTAAAAATTTGCAGGTATCAGCAATAGTTGATGTTCAAACCATTGCAAATAGTGGCTTGGAATTGGCTCATGCAGGTAATATAGAATTAAATATAAAATTTACATATTGTAATTTGAATTTTAAAGTAATTTTTGCATTTCGGATTTTTTTGAATTATCTCTCGCAGGTACATATCCCGAAGCACAGAAACATGCATCAATATATCAGTCGATAATGCAGAGGCTTCACCAAGCCTTACATCGAACTCATGAAGACCTTCATGATGGACGAGAAGTACCTCAATTAGTATACACACGTCAACAACGACACAGACGAGGACGACGCAGAAACGACAATGAAGCTGGGCCTTCCCAACGTGTTGACGATGGAGCTGGACCGTCACAACCACAAACGCAACCGGATCATGAACTCATCGAAGGTCGGGATAGAGGAGGCCGAAGACAAAGGAGGAGGAGAAGAGTTCTTGGATGTATGTAAGCTAATTGGTATTGTTATATAAATTACAATCCTATTTTGATATGTACATTACAAACGTATTTCGGGACAATAGATGGTTTTTGGATTTGTAGCTGAGATTGTGGTGTGACTTATTAGATTTGTAAGTGGGTTTGTGGCGTGATTTGTTGGATTTGGATTCGTAAGTTTGTGGCGTGATTTGTTGGATTTGGATTCGTACGTTTGTGGTGTATTTTATGATTTTTAGATTTGATATGTGTTTATACAGGGAATTGACATGAGTTTGTACAGGGAATTGATATATGTGTTTATGCAATGGTGTAATTTATGATTGTTGCGTTTGAAATATGCGTTTGTACAGGGAATTATCCCGTAGCAGAAATACATGCATAGTGAATGTGCAGGAAATGCACGGGACTGCTAGTCCCGTGCATTTCATTGCGCCCAGGAATTGCACGGGACTAGCAGTCCCGTGCTATTGTTTTTTGCAGAGACAGCAGGCTCTGTAAAATGCACGGGACTGTTAGTCCCGTGCATTTCTTTTTTGCAGACCTTCGTTCCTCTCTGTAATAAGCACGGGACTGCTAGTCCCGTGTTATTCGAAATTGCCACGAAATACACGGGACTAGCAGTCCCGTGTATGTCGTAAAAAATCTTCCGCAGCAAAACCGACCCTTTTCTTCTGAAAAGGGTCGGTTTTGCTATTTAAATTTCGATAAGGTCGGTTTTGCTATTTAAAATTCGAAATCGGTTCATTTTGAAAATTTGTCCTTTTTTTTATATTTAGGTAATTTGCCCCAACGGTTCTGACCGTTGGGGCTAGTTAAGACCCCAACGGTTGGAACCGTTGGGGCTGGATCAACGGCCCCAAACGGTTCCAACGCGGTTGGGGCATACTTTTATTTTTTGAAATTAAAAAAAATGAAAATTTTTTACCCCAACGGTTACAACCGTTGGGGCAAGTTTTTCAACCGTTGGGGCAGCATCATCCCCAACGCAATTTGTCCCAATGGTTAAAAAATTTGCCCCAACGGTTGTAACCGTTGGGGACATGATTAGCCCCAACGGTTCCAACCGTTGGGGCTGCTACAGTTTGTAGTAGTGTCTATACAAATGGGAGAACCCAATATTCACTATTCATGCTACAGAAAAAATGCTACTATAGCATTATTACTGTAGCTGTCATTAGTTGCATTAATGACCAACGATAATTGTTTTACTCATTATTAGTACATAATTAAATTAAATATTTTTAAGTAACGATGTCCATACTAGATAGTACCCTTTTTCTTTTTTTCTTTTTGCTTGCTTTCCAACATCATAGTCACTATTTTTACATCAATTTTCCATAAAAAATCATCCACTTCCTCACGTAATTCCCTGTCATTGCACAGACTAGTGTGAACACCGTGCAAAGTACGACATATTTTTTTTTCCCGCTACAAAAATCCCGATTTTAACTGTTACTGTAGTATGAATAGTGAATCTTGGGTTTTCCCATTTGTATAGAGGAGTAGATATAGATTGGTAGACAGATGGGGGCGAATATTAGTCGGGCTGGTATCATAATATTTAGAGTATTGTTTATATCAGCCAATGGCAAATGTTAGTGGATAGCAAATGATTACTATCTATATATTTAATAAGATGTGAACATGAAGCAGATTGAGATAATTTGAAAGAGTTCTCTCGTTCTAAATTGATAGGATTTGAAGGTTATTATATCAAAGAAACGTTTTTTGCGGCATAGGCTCATATTATTTGCATGTTCTTGCACTATGTTACAGGTTGTCTTGAATAAAGGAGGATCGATCATATTCATATTTCAGCATGGTCAGTGCACAAAAGGTTACTGTCAACTTTTTGGTGGACAAGAAGAAGAAGAGGGTGGTGCTGGCCGAAGCGTACAGCGACTTTGTGGACATACTCTTCAGCTTCCTCACTTTGCCATTGGGAACCATCATCAGACTCCTCAACAAGAAATCTAATATCGGATGCATGGACAAATTGTATGAGAGCGTCGAGAATCTTGATGTGCATAATTTCCAGACTGAGGCGTGCAAAACCATGCTCCTCTTCCCCCAAAGCGCTGCAGCTGAACAGTGTGAAGAACTAAAAGTAAATATTGATAGCACAAAGCCTAAGCCGAGGAATGTCTATATTTGTCAAAATCCCAAATGCTGTGCCAAGGACACATGCTTGGCTAGCTCTGTTCCTAATTCTCGATGCCCCCACTGTCAAGAAACTATGGAGTCTGTTAGAATATGGCCCAAAAAGGGTGGGTATGCTGGCAGATTATTTGTCGAGAGCGGAAGTAAATTTATAATCAGCGATGACCTCCATATAACTCCGGTGGTTTCTGTGGAACATAGCCAGCTTCTAATTCAGAGTATGGGCGTAGAAAGTGCATGCATCCTTGAGCAGAAGTCTATGAATATTGGAAGAGATGAGGTAAGTACTACGAGCATAATATATACATCACATTTAAACGTGTATCGTCGTGAGTAGTTCTGAGGAAACATTGGTACAGGGACCAATAACTTTATGCTACTCTCTCCTAAGCTGCTCCGTACGTCTAGTAGAGGGCTTCTATTAGTTATCGACTGTCTGGTGAATGAAAAGAATAAACAGATAATCTGTCCTTTTATCAATTGTGAACGTAGTGTTCTTCCATAGTACAATTGGTTATGCTCCCACGTATTAAGATTTCTCCCCTCATTATGTCAATTGTTAAATCCTTATAATAATGCTTCGGTCGTTCTTACATAATCCCATATGCACCTTTCATTCTCCAAAAGTTTGAGAACACGAGAGAAAAATAAATAGATAAAGAGAAAGTAATAATAGGAAACCATGAAGAGAAAACACCTAATAAATTTTGAAACACAGCTTACTTTTTACCATTTATTGTTTAATAGCATATCCTTAGATGTACTTTAAACTTTTTATTGAACAAGCAAAATGCAATAGCAAAGTGCTGTCAGTTCAGTTCATTCAAGCGAAAATCCATAGTAAACTGTAGTTAGTTCATTCAAACATATTTCATAAGGATTTATCCACTTGTATTAAGATACTTGTCAAAATAGATATTAATGTATATGAAGGTGTCAGTTTGCCCCTCTCAAGATCAATGATGAAGGAATCAAAGAAGGACAAAGATTCATACTTCTCTAGGAAAAAACATAAATTTTCCACCTAAACTACATAGTGGTCCTTCCTAATATATGATCTATGTCGATCACCTAATTTATTCAGCATTTGTGGTGTGTGGGTCTGTGGACAGTAGTGATTTGGTTTGATGAAGGAATGAAAAAGAGAAATATTTATCTTTAATTTGTACTTAGCAACAGTAATGTACTGATGTGGTTTTCTTAGCAACAGTGATGTGGTTTTCTAAGCAATAGCAATGTTGTTTTCTAAGCAATAACAATGTGGTTTTCTCAGATATTGACATTGCTTAAAAGATTGCTAGTCTCCAATTCGCCACTGACTGACTTGTTCTTCAAAAATGTGTGTGCCGCTCATGATGTATCAAGCAGATTTGATATTAAAAGCGTGATACAAGTTAAAAGAGAAGTTAAAAGAGAAGTCAATACAGAGGTTAAATCAAATGAAATCCCTATCAAGTTGTTTATGAACAAAGCTAGTAAGGGAGTATCATTTGTGGAAGCTGGAGAAGAATTTGTGAATTTTCTATTCAGTTTCCTAACCTTGCCTCTTGGTTCCTTGGTCATGCTCCAAAATAAGATGTCAGGCTTGAGATGTGTTGATAGCCTGTATCAGAGTGCTGAAAGTTTTACTTTAGACCTTTTTAAATCTGTGGAATGCAAGAACATCCTTCTCTCTCCTAAGCTCGGCCCCTTCTTTGGATACGCCAACAGCATGCTAAAGATGGATGAAATTAGACCACGTACGAGCTTTATTCGTGGTTGTTACAGTTGCTACTGTAGAAACAATCAGACACAATGTACAGCTTCAAAATGTGTCCATGGTGTGGGGACTGCAATTTTTGAGCAGTTGAACCCGAAGTCTCCAGAGGGAGGAACAGAAAGAGGCGGAGGATATGCCAAGGGGAAATTCCTGGTAACTGCTGATCTTTGTGTATCTCCGTTATCTACCATCTCCTCCATCCAAATGATGAAGAGCCTGAATCTTTCGTTCGGCGATCTAGTGATGAAGACGGCTGTACTTGGAGAAATCGAGGTGAGGAACACACCCGTAATATATTTGACCAAAAAAAAAATACTTTAAAACTCCAAATAGTGAATCATGTTAATTATTTCCTTAATATTGTGCTTGGTTCTTCTAGTATATGCTTCTTCTTCTTTCCCCCCCGGTTCTTCTAATGTTGTGCTTGGTTCTTCTAGTATACGCTTTTCTGCTTGCTATGGTGTTTTTATAACACTCCGACTCTGGTCCAGGTTCTGGATCTACTCAGGTCTGCTGTAACCTCCAAAACCTTGTTTGATGATGGGTTCACTAGTCAGAAACAAAAGGGGAGGAAGAATTCCTACCTTACGAAGGAATCATGTCACTTGAGTATTATGCTCAGCTTCATTTTCATTGCGGTTTCCCTGGTTGTGAGTCTGCAACGGTGTAAGGAAACATTGTGAAATTATAGGTCAATTTTAAGGCCAAGGTAAACTGCACCGAACTTCTATATGCTGTCTGCTGATAAATCGTTGCAAGTTGTCATCTCGATCTGTGCAAGCAAAATATTGATATACATCACTGTAACTTAGATAGTTTAGACAAGGGTTACTGATAAATCGTATAGCCCAGTTGTGGATACACACCCTGAGTGAAGTTTTCAGGTCTTTTGTGAACAAACAATTTTCTCTTCCTCTAATTGTAAAAGAGTTGAAAGATTTCACCCAGGGGGTCTATCTGCAACATTAGAACTACATGGGGCCTGTCTGCAATTAGGCAATTGTACTGGGGGTCTATCCTCAATTGAACCCTTGTTTAAACTATTTTAAGTTACTGTGATGTTTTCTTCTCTTATGACAGTTATTTTTTGGTAATTGTGCAGTAGTCCTTTTTTTTTAGTTCTCTGTTTCTTTAAACTGGATCTTCTGATGACTAATTAAGTGCTAAAGAGATTTCCCCTTGCCAGTAATTTTTTTTACTATTGCATCAAAATGCAGCGAACTACATGATGACATTGTTAAATTGCCTGATTTAGTAGGATGCAAACATTTTTCAGTGATACATGATATCATGACATTGTAGAAACTCAGAGCAACTTTTCCTGTACAATAGCCTATTATTGACATATGCACAACTTAGATGTAGCTTTGAGCCCTTGAATATAGCTAATTCAATTTTGAGCTGTCTATATTGAAGTACTTTGTTATAAATAGCATTATTATAAATTTTAAGGTAGACCCAGAATTTTTTTAGTGAAGTTAATTATGCTTTTTTCTTATGCTTGCAGTTTCGCAAAGGGGCTGAACATATTCGAAGATTTAAAGCCATCGGAATGCTAGCTTGAGGCGGTCGAGAGGAAGGAGGGATTTTGTAAGAATGTTATTGCTAGAGAATTTTAGATTGAGGAGACATTCTGCAATTAATTTTTTTTAGTGTTAATTTAGCATGTTTATATATGATATTTCAGTATTTTGGTTCATGACCAGTGTCATTGTAAGTATTGTGTTAATATAGTTGTTATGAGGTGAAAATATTGGTCGCGTTGTGAATATATTTCAGTATATAGGTTTTATTATGAAGGTATTAATTTTGTTCTGAAAATATTGGTCACTCTAAATATGGATATACTTGTATGCCTGCCAAGATGTTGGTTATGTTGACTATATCTCTCAATTATCCACTACCTGCTGAAGACAAACAGTGGCTCCTCTCACTGTAGTTGATACAAAAGTTTGATGATTTTGCTTTCTTGAGTTTCATATTTTTTTTAGGCAAAAATGTATATATAGTTGATATCTCTGTTTTTGAGTAACTTGATGTACATAACGTTACATATTTGGTGGGTGAATAAAATTTTTCATTGACCAAAAAAAAAAAGATGTTGGTTATGTTGTGAAAATAGGGATATATTGGTAATTTATTTTGACCAGTCCTACTTTAAAAGTAAGCATTGTTAGTCCTAATCTCAGTTCCATTTCAATTCCCAATCCTATTAAAACTTTAAAACCCAACCTACGAAACATGTACTCAGCTGACCCTGTTGTCGCCACATTCCAATTCATGAATTTTTGTTCCCTCCTGAGGAACTCCACCGGGTCGGCTGCAAGGTAACCAAACGCATCGAACGCGAACGGGATGAAACTATGATGGTTGTCCTTGCAAGCTTGATCATGTTTGCCCACCTTTACCTCTGCCGCTCTATCCGCTGCATGCCCAACTGTGAACACCCCATTACCAAACCCCACCAACGGAGATACCCCAGTGAGATTAACACAAGCGTGCTCCCCCCGCTCTTTTTTTTTTTTTTTTTTTTTTTGTTCCTTTTTTTTTTTTTTTTTTTTTTTTGAGTTGACATCATTAGCTTATTACTCAAATGATATTTCTAATGAAGTGATAACAAAACGTCCATAAAGTTATATCCTTATGTAATAGACTTGATGCTTGGCCAATGACTTGCCTTTGACTATCGGAATCTATAAGAATAACCTCCATAAAGTTAACTAGAGAAACGTAAAAAAATCGTCAAGTATGGTCGACAAAACAATCATGAACCATGACATAGAACTTCAATGACTATAAACTCCAATAAAAATCACAGGCTTTACTTCCACTTCAACACCCAAAGTTCACTCTTTTCTTAAATTTAATACCATAAAATTATATTTTGGATAAAAAGCAAAGACTGAATTCTATACTGAAAAATTGATACCCTAAATGGACAAAAAGAAAAGATGTTATTTTTTTCAAAAATACTAACGTAGAAAAGCAAATGGGAAATAATATTCTTACCAGAATTCAGCACGAGAACGAGCGAGAAACAAAGTTGAGATTTGGGGTATCAAATATCCTCAAATTAACATCAACTAAAAAGCTTTGGTATATCCGGTTGTCAAAATAAACTTTAAGGTATTATTAACTATAGTTTAATTTTTTTTCCTTGGAAATCACCTCATAGTTAAGATAATTTACGTAAGCATATTATATTCACCTACGAAGTTTTTCTTTCAATTAACCACCAGACCCCCACTTTGCTGCTATTTTTTCTTCTTCTAAAATTCTAATAATACTCTCACTTAATATCACGAAAGTTTGAGCATCAACAAGAGAGGTCACAGAATCACAGGAGATTAAGTGAGGATAATATTGGGTTTACAAGAATATTTTACTAATGTCCATACCTGGTATCAACACTTTATTAAAATATTTTATTCACTCTATAGAACAGAGTTAATTCAAATCACTACAGATATTTACCATCTTACCCTTCAATGGAGACGCGAGCTGTGCCCCACTACCAAAGACCCAACGGTGAAATATCATCTCCAAGCCTGGTTAGAACCAAATTTTCCCGCCCAAACCCTGTCCTCGCTCAGTATTTTTATTTATGCCCTCGGCTGTTCTTCCCCCTTTTTTCATCGCCTTTTCAAATCCTCTCACTTCTGCCGCTAGAAAACCCTAAAAAAAACTTCGAAGGTCTGAAATTTTTGCTATTGTTGATCTATTTAGCGTCCATTTGAGGTTTTCCCTCTTTTCCCTGAATCTTTTTTCTTCGATTTAGTAGTGGAAATGGCGATCGAGGTTGAGGATGGGGTAAAGAGTGAACCGGTCTCTGATTCGCCTACGTCTGTTCTTGAAGAAGACGAGGTTTGGTTCGATTTATGTTTAATTTACGCTCTTATTTGTTGATCTTGTAAAAAATTTCTAGGGTTTTTGGTTGCTTTAGAAATGTTTCAATTTTTTTTTTTTTGCAAATTTCACCTGCGGCGTTTCCATTTTCCGAGTTTTGTTTCGATTATGATTTAATGCACTTCTGTTTATTGGTTATGAAAAAAATTGTAGGGGTTTTCATTTATTTCTAAGTGCTTCCGCTTGTAATTTCCACTTCTAGGGTTTCTATTTACCATGTCCAGAATTTAGAATTTTAAGGGAGTTAAAGAGAGAAACTTCCCTCCGTTCTTATGTTTTGGGGAAAGTTTTTTGTTGTCTTTTGAAAAACCTAGGGTTTTAATTTTGTTTTGTGTAGTAAACATTTGCATATTTTGCAGATTTCATCTCTAAGGTTTCCATTTTCTACGTTTAGCATTCTTTTGGAGGAAGAAGAATTTTAATGCAGATAAAAAACTAGAAAAGTCATCTCCTTTATTATATTTTTGGGAACTTTTCGTTTACTCTTATCATTTTCTTCGGATCGAAATAGTTACAAATATGTAGAGGTTGCTGCTTTAGGAGAAAATACTGTAGATTCCCGTCCAAATATTTATTTTTTAAAACTGTTTTAGGGTTCATCAACCGCTGCTTTTTTATTTCCCCCTAAATTGGCGGTAGTATTTTCTTCCTTTGTCGTTTATTTTTTGACGTTTTCATGTTAATAGTTTTTTTTTGGTATCAGGCAATCACTGCAACCTTTCCTCTTGAGCTAGAAGCTAAGAATGGTGATACCTCCCTCATTTCAAAGACAATGGCTGAAGAGGAAAAAAAATTACACGAGGCTCGAGAGAAAGAAAAGGCCGAGGCTAAGTTAGACCCTAACTTCAAGTTTGACAAGTTGGACGAGCTGCTTACTCAAACACAGCTCTACTCTGAATTTCTGCTAGAGAAAATGGATGACATCACTGCAGTAAGCATTTTATAATCCTTCTTTAACTTGTGTTTTTGTGTTATATTGTAACGCTGCCTGCTGTTATAGCAGAACTCTGCAGTGAAAGTTGAAGAAGAAGTAGAAGAAGATAGTCCCAAAGAAGAAGATGCTCCTAAGGGGAAGAAGGGACGGAAGAGAAAGGCCGCTAATAAAGCTTCAAAGTACAACACTGTAAGTTGTTATTATTTGCACTGTTACTTAGACAACTGATTTTGTGTGTTGTTCACTAGTGATATATTTTGAGTTCATGATATATAGGAGATGGTTTTGCATGACTAATCAAATTGGTACATAGTGATTTATTGAATGTTTGGGTGGGAAGATGTTAACTTACACTTTTTTATGCTAAAAAAACTAAATAGAAATGGGACAATTATAAACTTTTAAATTTTATTTGTCATTAGAAATTTACTGTAAAGCTCACTCTCCACGAAACTGGCCTCCTTAGTATGTGGGCTCTGTGGACCTCTGCCTTCATTGTTTGGTGCTAAATAGCCACAAACATGCCCTGCACTAGATTGAACTGGATGCAGAATTTTTTCTCATGTGGGCTATAAATGATAGATGGAAACATACATTATCGTTTTTTAGCCAAGAGATCTTGGATTGCTTGTACATAGTAAATTGCATGGGAAATTCTCACTTACTGTAAAGCCACTGAATGTCTCTCTGTAAAGTTCAAACTATTTGAGTTAGATCTATTTTTGAAGTTTCTTCTGTCTTGCTTGATTCTCCATTGCTGTTGATTCTATTCCCCTTCTTTTAAACAACTTATTTTTTTGAGACGAAAAAAAACTCTGAGGTGACATAGAATTTTGAATTAATTGGTAGTTGACAAAATTCTGACTTAATTGGTAGTTGAGAAGACAAAGAGATCATTGTACTTGCAGAAAGTCTAACTTACAAAAAGATCCCTGTAGCACATAATGTACATTGATCGAAGAAGCTTGCTGAATTTTACTCAAATTGGAACATGAAAGAGAGATATATAGGAACTTGTCAGGAATAGTATCTTCCAAACCTATTACTTAACTCATCTTTACATGTGACTTTTATAATTGTCAATTTTAATCTGTTCAAATATATTTAAATACACTTGACTTTCACATGTATTTAAGTCGTATCATTTTAAGTGTGCACTTCTTATGCTTGTCATGTAACTTGAAGTTGAAGGTGCATGTGTTTGATTGCTTAGAGAAAAGCGAAGACTGCAGTCGCAGCTATGCTAACAAGATCTCATGAAACTATTGCACCTGAAGATGCTTGCCTCACCGAGGAGGAGAGGGCTGCAAAAGAGCAGGCTGAACTTGTACCACTATTAACTGGTGGTAAACTTAAAAATTATCAAATTAAAGGTGTAAAGTGGCTTATATCATTGTGGCAAAATGGACTCAATGGGATACTGGCGGATCAAATGGGTCTTGGGAAAACAGTGCAGACTATTGGTTTTCTTGCACATCTCAAAGGCAAGGGTCTGGACGGGCCTTATATGGTTATAGCTCCACTTTCTACCCTCTCCAACTGGTTTAATGAAACCCGAAGGTATAACTATCTAGTGCAGCTTTCATTTATTTACAAACATAAAGGATGGTCTAACCTGAGACAATTTTGCATTAGGTTTGTTCCCTCCATGGATGTGATTATATATCACGGAACTAAGGATGACCGGACTGAGATAAGAAAAAAGTTCATGCCTAAAAGTATTGGGCCTAAATTTCCTGTGGTGATTACTTCTTATGAGGTTGCTTTCAGGGATGCAAAACCTCTATCTCACTACAAATGGAAGTATGTTGTTGTGGACGAGGTAAAAGCTCTACCTTAATGTGGTTGTAAAATTTCTCTATATTTCTTTTGATGATTTAGTTCTTCTTCATTGTTTCTCTTAATTGCCTGCTTTTCATAGGGTCATCGCTTAAAAAATATGAACTGCCTCCTACTGAGGGAGTTAAAACGCTTGCCAATTGAAAACAAGCTTCTTTTGACCGGGACCCCTCTTCAAAACAATTTGGCAGAGCTTTGGTCACTGTTGAACTTCATCTTGCCTGACATTTTCTCATCCCATACTCAGTTTGAATCTTGGTAAGTATGTATAGCTGACAGAAAATACTCTCTCAGTATGAACTTATTTTTGTTGTTGGAGAAAATTTTGTTGCCTATTTGAGTTACTATTATCACAACGGTAATATCCCATTAAGCGAAGAAAAATTCCATCAACTGAACCAACAAATAATATCATCCTTCTACTTAACATAGCTGTACAAAAAAAAGTGCAAATATACAAGTATGCACTGTATAATAGGAGCAATATTTCCTAAGTTATGAAAAACCATTCTTTTCTTTTACATTGACCGAAAGTCCTAGCTTCTCAAAACCATTTGTTGATTTGATGGGACATGTTTCAACTTTCAAGATTTTTTTTGCTGTATTGAGGTTTTCTAAAACTGATATTTGAGCAATTTGGGATACCTGCTGCTATTTGTTCTAGTAACGTGATTTATGTGCACTTTTTGTTTTCTGAAATTATCCCGTCTTTTTAGTTCTTCAAGAATTTGTGGTAAAATGTACTTTAGAGATTCTATATCCATGGTAGCTAGTCTGTCGTCATCATATATCCATATGTTTTAGTTTTATTATTTCTTAATCTTTTTCTCGGCTAGTTCATACTGTGCACTGTGCTGATTGTCAATATTTATATGACTATACCTCTTGAAAACTTTATCCTAAGTCCTAAAAGATTTTTCAAGAAAATGATTTTTGGTCAATTTTCAAAAGCTCTCTATGGTTTTATTTATGCGTTGTCCTTGGTGCTGACACGCATCTTCTTCGTTCAGGTTTGATTTTTCTGGGATGACCAACAGTGACTCACAGCAGGAAGATACTGAAGAAAAGAGGCGGGTCGAGGTATTTGTGCAGATGTTACATACTTACATATCATGTTATTTGTGTCTGTTTTAATAAGCTGGAAACACAAATGTTGAGTTCTTAATCTTCAGGTGGTATCAAAGCTTCATGCTATTCTGCGTCCATTCCTCCTACGGCGTATGAAAGTGGATGTAGAGAAGAATCTTCCACGAAAGAAGGAGATAATTCTCTATGCAAATATGACTGATCATCAAAAGAAAATCCAGGATCATTTAGTCAACAAAACATTTGAGGACTATGTACAAGAAACTACAGATGGTATGTAAGACATGTTGGAAAAAAAAAGAAAAAGAAAAAGCAGCTTTAAGTTTTGTAGATAATTTAGAAACAGGAAATGTGCATATTAACTTGTATGTATGGAAGTTGTGTACTTCAGGCTGATGTTTGATTTGCAAGACAGGTACCTCCAGAAGGGGCATGAAAGGGAAGTTGAACAATTTGGTAATTCAACTTAGAAAGAACTGTAACCATCCTGATCTTCTGGAGTGTCAATATGATGGATCATGTATGTGCTTCACCGTCTCTTATTACTTAAAGTTCTTCTATAGTACTCGAGACCCTGTATAATGTTGGTCCTTACTATTTCTACAGATTTTTATCCTCCTACAGAACAGTTGGTAGAACAGTGTGGGAAATTCCAGCTGCTAGACAGACTCCTCACCTTGCTACTTGCACAGAAGCACAAAGTATGTATTTGTCTTTTCCCCCTCTCATTTGCCTTCTGCATTTCAACATGTCATAATGACGCTTGGGCCTTTTCAGGTTCTCATTTTCTCTCAGTGGACTAAAGTCTTGGATATAATTGAATATTACTTTGGTCAGAAGGGTCTTGAGGTTTGTCGAATTGATGGTAGTGTTAAACTGGATGAGAGAAAGAGGCAGGTAAGGGCTATCATATACTCTTGCCATGTTGAGTAATTTTATTTTGAAGTCTCATTTTGCATCCTTATTTTCTTTTATACTTAGCAGTTCTTACCTATTTCTTTTGTTCTCAGCAATCTTTCTTTCAGTGACTACATCACTTATCCATGTTACATTACCTATCCATGTTGTCCATTATTTATAAATGTTCCCCCCCTATTACAGATAGAGGCATTCAATGATTTGGATAGCAAAGTCAATGTATTCCTTCTCAGCACTCGTGCTGGTGGCCTGGGTATTAACCTCACTGCAGCTGACACATGTATTCTTTATGATAGTGACTGGGTAAACATTAAATTTCTACTTTCATAATCTGTGAAAGATATTGAAGCATCCTGAGCTTAGAAACTGACATACAGAGGATTCCAGAATCCTCAAATGGATTTGCAGGCAATGGATCGATGCCATAGGATTGGGCAAACTCGACCTGTGCATGTATACAGACTTGCTACGGCTCATTCTGTAGAGGTATGTTTTGTGTGGATTTAGTTTCTCTTGTGAGTACATTATATTATGTCCTGTTTTCAAGAAGGCTGATCCAATCTTTGCTGCAGGGACGGATCATTAAGAAAGCATTTTCAAAGTTAAAACTGGAGCATGTCGTTATTGCGAAAGGACAATTCCAACAAGAAAGTGCAAAACCTAATACATTTGAGGTAAACCTAGAGTTGTCTCTTGTGGTTTTTTCCCCAGCAAGATAAATTAGTACTTGTTTTCTGAATGACATCTGGAGAAATTTTTGACTAGATTATAAGGGCTGGTAGTCTAGAAATAGGTAGCTTACAATAAATTGTTCTATGCAAACCATAAGGAAGCATTTGCCATGTGTAGTTTCTGGTGTTTCTTTGATGATTTGCTGGCCTTCTTTCACCTACTGTATTGAACCATGGTGTGAATTTGTTTTCTTCACCCCATCTTTATTTTGTTGTGTATTTGTATTTAATCACACTAACATCTAACAATCACTTTCCTAGATGTGGAGTGGAAGGTGGGTATGTGGTACCGATAGGATGAGCACGTTCTACTTTTTAAGCCCCCTGTTCATAATTCTTAGTTTTAGCTTACAAGGGCTTACATCTGTCTGCAAAATTAATATCCAAGTATGCACAACTTTTCGCAGAATATCAAATAATCTACTACTCTTAGAAACATTTTAAGATTTTTTCCCTCTACACCAAAACTCCATTCTTATAACGAGCATTGAGGGTAATTTTTATACTCTAACATGGTCCACCGGGTTGACCGTGCCTTTCATGAACCGAAATATACTATCTTGCACAACAATATATTTCTTAAATCTGCTCTGAATCTGTGTTATGTGGGATATTTAATCAGGATTGCTTTAATTCTAACCTCGATTCCTTTCCAGTCTAACAAGGCAGAGTGTTAAGGGTCATAATATACTCTAATAAGAAGAATTCACGGACTATGTTTTGTGTCATCTACATCGTTTACTAATGTATTTTCGCTTGAAACATTCAGGAAGCTGAATTGTTGGCCTTGCTCAAAGATGAAGATAATGAAGAAGATAAGTTGACCCAGACTGACATTAGCGAAGAAGATTTGTTAAGGGTTTTGGATCGCAGCGACTTAGTTTCTGGATCCGCCGGTGTAACAGAGAGTTCCTCTCTTCCTTTACGAGGACCAGGTTGGGAGGTAGTATTACCAGCGAGCAGTAGCGGTAGTGTACTCTCATCGCTGAGCGGTGGACCCTGAAGATAGGATTTGAAAGAGGGGATGTTTTTTTTGGGTGTGGTGATGATCACCACAATTTTGGGCATTCCATGAGGTCTTGATGGTAAAAGTTTTTACCGTACCCCTGGAATATTTTTGTATATACACTTCTGTGGTGAATGCTGTAACACTATAGAGGAGTGGAGTGTGCTTTAGTTACTGTAAAAGCATACATTATTGATGTTTTTATTTGTGCCTCTGTTAGGGGCAAAAGGTGCAGTGATGCGCATACTGAACATCTTCATTGAACATTTAGTTGCAGTTCTCAATTTTATACTAAGTGGTTTAAGGTGCTTGAAGAAGAGCTCTTCTCTTTTGTGCCCGAAGAATTGTTACCATGGTATTTTTTTTATATACACTATCTGTTGAATGCTGTTACAGTACATGGAAGTATAGTTCATATGATTAAGTTACTGTAAGTATATTATTAATGTTTCTATTATTGCCTCGGTTTGGGGTAACAGGTGCAGTTGGCTCAGCCTAAACATCTTCATTGAACATTTTTAGAAGTTTTTAAGTGCAAATGAAAATTGCAATTATCGCATTTTCTTAATTTTATTGATACATGTATCCTAATCTTCTGTTCATTTTTGTTGTGAGTCAGTTCTTTCGTTAAGTTGGCAATTATTTTATTCTTCTTAATTGTTCCTAACCAAGTTATTTTAGGCCTACTTCCGGTCATTACTGTATTTATTTTATGTCCACTCTTTCTATCATTGAGTATAATAAGGTGGGGGAGTAACTAGCTTCTATTTTCAGTGTGTAGCATATTTTATGTTCACTCTTTCTATCATTGAGTAATGAGGTGGGGGAATAGCTTCTATTTTCAGTCAGTGCAATGCAAGACGGTGAGTAGGATATATAAAAGGCTAAGCAAGAAGGTGAGTAGGATATATAAAAGGCTAAATAACACTTAGATACCCTATAGTTTTACTCATTCGGCAGTTAATTACCCTCAGTCGTATTTTGAAGCATTTGTATATCCTTAGTTGGTTAAAATTGACATGTTAATTCCTTATGTTTTGCAAATGTGAAAGCTTTTATCCTGTAAGTTCAAATAAAACATTTGTATGCTTATCTAGTAACTTTCTTTCTGTCTATGAAGTTTATTAAATTCATTGTTAAATCTTTCCAAATTCTGTTTCTGAAATAGATTTATGATATTTTTAAATTACAATTTAGATAAGTTTAATAATAATTTAACAAATATTAATGATTAAAAAACTCTAAAATTAACATATAAATATTGTATGATGAATTTTGATGAATTTTGAGGAATAAAATATGTATTGTCGTAATAGGGGAACACCTTTCTTTTAGAAAGGTGAAAGTAAAGAAAAAAGCGTCTCAACGCATTTTGGGAGAACCGGCTAGCTCTGGGTTTGAGTGGCATTTCACCCCCGACCATAACTCATCTAATGGGGCCGATGCTTCCATCGTGTATTATTTGGTTTGACATTTGCAAAACTTTAGATATTAACCTGCCAATTTTGACCAACTAAGTATATATAAATGTTACGAAATACAACTGTTGTATACATGCCCTATAAGGGAATGACACAGGTAAACAATTGCTATTTAGCTTATATAAAAAATGATGTCATTTTCATGATCCAAAATATTAAATTGCCCCACAACAAAAACAAGAAGAACTCCAAATTCATTTCAAAATGATTCGTCTTATCTTAATCATATTTTAATTTTCTTATCTCAACTTTTACTCGTGTACTCGTTAGAAAAGATGATTTCAGTATTATTCATCAAAAGAAAAAGAAGTAATTTAAATTTTCTATCCTATATAACCAGAATATTTCAAGTCCATCATGTATATGAATAAAAAAAAGCTCCTGGCAATACAAAACCCCACTCCTCCTTTCATCAACCCCTCTCATTTGTGTGCGTTGTCTCCAAACGTCACATCACAACCGTTCATCTATAAAATCAACGGTCCTGATCTCAACCGCCCTTTCCAAACTCGCGCGATACTTAATTATTATCAGCCCCGATTTCGACAAAAACCCCTAAAAATTTCATCGTCTTCCTCCGATCCCAAAAAAATTCTCGAATCTCGATCGGAACCCTAGAAATTGAAACCCTAATCGCCCTCCGATCTCTCAAGATCGGAAGCCCTGGGGGCGCCGAATCGTCCCGCCAAAGCCGCGTGGCGCAGGCGAAAACTTCACGCCTCAACTTCTTCTTCAACTCCGTCACTCGAAACCCTAATGCTCGCCCGTCGCCATCACTACTAGCCCAGCTCCCCTCCATGCGACTTCGTCTCCCGCGCACCGCCCGCCTCCTCCGCCGCGAGCCCTCCCGACAAGGCCGCGCCGCCCCGCCTCCCCAACCACCGCCGTCGCCGCCTCGGCCGTGGCGGAGGAACTGGAGTACATCGCTCGGTACCTCGTGATCAAGCACTCTTGGCGAGGACGATACAAGAGGATCCTATGTATCTCGAGCTCGTCTATTATTACTCTAGATCCAGGGACTTTGGCTGTAACGAATTCTTATGATGTTAGTAGTGATTTTGAGGGGGCGGCGCCGGTGATTGGGAGAGGAGGAGGGGATGAGAGCGCTGCGGCGGAGTTTACAGTGAGTGTGAGGACTGATGGGAGAGGGAAGTTTAAGGGGATTAAGTTTTCGTCGAGGCTTCGGGCAAGTATTTTGACGGAGCTGCATCGGATTCGTTTTTTCAGTGCTTCATTTGAGGAGGAGGACCTCGGAATGGGTTCCTTATGTAAGTCTTGTTCTGTTGATATTGAGTTTTGTTGGATTTTTGCATTGGTTTTTGAACTGAATTCTTGCTACTGTCCACTGGGTTAAATAGGAAGCATAGTTGGAATTTCTGGGGATTCAAGTATAGCCGTAAGTATAGCCGAGATATCTGTTTTTAGAGAAAAACATCAGTAGACTACGAGGTGAATGCATAATTCTTTTTATAAATGAAGAATTTTTTTGTGAGAGCTGGAAGACTAGCTAGTTTGATTGCTTGAAGAGAAAAACTCACAAAACAACTAGATTGTCAACTACTATTTTCCACAGTGGAATGGATGTCTCTGACGTAGAAGGAAAGTTTTACGATACAACAAATATTACCAGCTTCGATTTACTGGTCTAAATATTGTAAACATTAAAAACTTGTTTAAGAGACGAGTTTAATTACAATGAGGATGTTGAAATGGATGAGTGATACATTTGAAGTTAGCAAGAAAGGTCTGCGTCTTTAAGAAGTGAGATGCCTTCAATTATGAGACGAGGAAAACCATTTGGGATAGTTTGAACATGTGCGTCGGAGTTGGATGAGTGCATCGTTTAGGAGGAAATATTTGGTGGTTTTGAGGGGGAGGAGTAATGATAAACCTTTAAAACATGTATTTATTGGTTATGCAGTGAATAAAGATGTTTTATCTATTAGTTTTACATAGAATGTATCCCTGGACACCGCTGAATGAAGAAAGTATTCATGTATCTTCTTACCTGAAACGTGCTTTAAAGGCTTCATTGTCATCACACTCATATTAGAACACAAGTAGTGTAAAAACACAACATCGTGCACAACACTCATATATAGACTTAAAGTGGTCGTTAAGCACACAACAGGTTAGGACAAGGTTCTATAATTCCTGCATGGACAATCTTATGCATCAAAATATATTCTTTTGGTAATATTTATAGTTTGTTTTACTATCTTTTGTTCAAAACTATTTGCTAATTTTTTTAGGGGATAGATCTGCTGGTGATCTGAATCCATAATTTATAGACACTGTTAAGTCTGGCTAATTGATAAAGTTTGCATACTCTAGTTCCACATCTTATCTTTTTTTTATGCGCGTTTCAAAGACTCTCTCTGCTACAGAAACTAAAAGTTACCGCTGTTGGTGTTGAACTTCTGGACGGACAATCAGGAGATGCACGGTGGTGCTTGGATTTTAGAGATATGGATTCTCCTGCAATTGTACTTTTGGCTGATAGTTATGGTAAAAGAAGCGCAGAAGGCGGGGGTTTTATTCTTTGTCCGTTATATGGAAGAAAATCTAAAGCTTTTATAGCTTCGACTGGAACCTCTAACAGCGCAATTATTTCACATTTGGTATGGTTGGTGTCTGCACTTTCCCTTTGAACATTTTCACATTAAATATTCTCAATTTGGTTTAGCCGTTAATAATACTGTATGCACAATCATTTTGAACTCGTTTTGCAGACCAAAGCTGCTATGTCTACTGTGGGGGTCTTGTTATCTGTTGACAGTTCTCAGTCGTCAACAATATTGGATTTTATTAAGAAAAGAGGTTGGTTCATGGCGTAGGCTTGAACTTTTCCGCTCTATCTTCAGTTTCAATTTTTTTCTTCTAAATGATCATCAGCACAGTTTATACTGGCTTCATTGTGTTTTAACTATTCATCATGGTGTTCCTTTTTATAATTTATATGTTATATTGGATCCGCTTGAAAGTGTCCTTGACAAGAACTCTAGCAACCAAGATTCTTGTCAGTATGCCAACTGTAAAACACTTGCTGTCCTATTCATGCTATCGGCCTTCTGTGTGTCAAATTATAATCTTCAAACTTTTGTTCAAACTTGTTAAGTTTTGATCAGTGATCTTTTGTGTCTTAGTATCCTAGTGTAGTCTATAAGACTAATGGGACATGTTAGGTGTTAAAGTAAAGTATTTTGAAGAAAACAATATGTTGGCCGAATCAATTAATTGCTTAGCTGACCAACCAATCCTAAGATGGACAATCTAATTGTCTGTTTCCTAATATTGTTATTTTAGATTCTTCAAATTTAATAAATTTGCTTAGAAAGTGGTTTGTACGATAAGGATTTTCATCCTCATTTTTTCTAGAGAAGTCATGACATACTCACTATGGTATCCACTATCCACTGTAAACCTACCACACACTCCAACATGGCTTATATTTTCTACATCATGTGTAGTTGCATACTTTGTGCTGAACTTCTAGTTTCACGAGGATAAGGGTACCTTATGGATTATAGGTTCCAACTTGAGGTATATCTATCCAAAGCTGATTTACTTTCTAATTTATATTAGTTCTATTAGCCTTCCAATCTTGGATTCTGATACCAATGATGCTTTTTGAGGTCCATGGTTGATGTTAAAACCCTATGATACGATTTCATTTTAAACCATTTCCAGAGAGATATGCATCAGTTAAATATCAATTTTAGGGGTATTAGAGGCAACCTTTTAGCATCTTACAAATGACTCTAGAATTTATTTGTTAATTTCTTCAATAGTGTATTGTAATTTACAGCTAAGGAGGCAGTTGGGGCTGATGAAACCCCATATGGAGGCTGGTCTGTGATGAGACTGCGCTCTGCTGCTCATGGGACTGCTAATGTCATGGGCTTAACTTTGGGAATTGGACCTAAAGGTGGGCTAGGAGAGCTAGGCGATTCTGTACCTCGCCAACTTATTCTTACCAAGATTTCTCTTGTTGAAAGACGCCCAGATAACTATGAGGTATGCTTTAGCTGCTCAAGTTACTCAGTTTTAATGGATGTCAGTCAAAACGTTCGCAATTTTAATCGTTAGCCTTGCTCCTATATGCTTTTCAGATTTCCAGCTTCTTTAACTTTTTATATATTAAGAATGTGATTGTTCTATTGACCACATACTCACCCTGAAAGAGATTTGCATCCTCTGAATGGAAAAGTAAATGTAAAGTTTGACTTTCATTAGCTTTTTGCATCACTTTTCCCTCACAATTGGTCTCTATTATAATAGTGTTTGATTATCCATTTAATGTTCAATATTTCTGGGTAATTAAGTGTTTACGTGGGGGTTTATGTATGGGGGTGCACCTGTATAATGCGAAGAGTCTTGTTGATTATGTTCTTAAAGGAATGCACTGTTCCATGGTCATGGTAGTCAGGGTATAAAATGGGTTCACAATCAACTTCTTTTCTACAGTTTAAAAGGACCATGCCTTCTAAGATTTTAATATGTTCCCCTGTCCTCCAAATACTATCTATAGTCTCTTTAAATATCTAATATGGGTAAAATACCATGCCTTCTAAAAAATTTCATATGCTCCTCTTTGTCCTGCAAATAATACCTCTTGTCCTTTATCTACATAACACTTGATATTATATCAGTCTGCTCAACATTTAGTTTACATTTGTGGGAGGAGAGGAGTTACATTATTGATATTTATTGATTGTATGTTAGTCATGTTATTTCCAATATTTTGGAGGTTTCATTATCATGATATTGTACTTGAAAGAGATTAGATAATCAATGTTGTTGCTGTGCAAGGTGAAGAGTAGTTTTGCATAAAAACCAAGACATGGCTTACAACTTAAAACTCAGTTTTAAAACACATGATATTGTTATTCATATCATCAGACTTATTTGTACTTATTCTATTTTTAGAACGTAGCTGTTCTTGGGTGTCCATGTTGTTTCTTCGTTTTTATACTGGTACTATCAATCATGCACAGAAAATGTGGTACTTTGTCCAAAACTTCTTGGTAATATTAACTTAATTGGTTTTCCTTTTTTGTAAATGTTGTCTTTTGTCTGTTACAGTGAGAGCTACTTGAAATTAATTTTTGACATGTTAGCATATGTTTTCTTTGCTTCTAAAATGTCCCTTTGCACCTGACTGGATTCTTGCTGTCCAGGCTGTTATTGTTCGACCACTTTCTGCAGTTAGTTCTCTTGTTCGATTTGCTGAAGAACCACAAATGTTTGCAATCGAATTCAATGATGGATGCCCTATTCAGGTAAGAATTTGCTGCTTCATCATACCAAAATACGGAGAAAAATCTACTTTAATTCTGTGTATGATTTTTTTTGCTGAGCAAAAATTTTAAAAAATATTTATGATTTGAAATCCAGGTCTATTCGAGTACATCGCGTGATAGCTTACTTGCAGCAGTTCGAGATGTCTTGCAAACAGAAGTAAGTGTATTTGTGTGTGTTATTTTCTTCTTACTTGTTTTTGTAGCAGGGACAAGAAAGCTGTCATTCTCAGGGTTTCAGGATATAAGTTATAGCTAAAATCATATTTGGATACTAATCTCCCACAAATTCAAATTTCGATATTAGTTCTTTGAAGTGTTACATTGCAAATCTATCGTTATTATCTATCTCTGGGTTCTGGAATATTAGCCTATACCCCAGATGGTTGGTGGAATTTTTACATTAATACCTCCTTCAACCTCCAGGCCAATCTCTGTTTTCATGATTCTGGACTCTGATATCTAGTCCCTTCAATCCAGTCAAAATCCCAACACTTTATATTCTCACCTCCAAACCCTCAAATCTCATCATGTAGTATCAAAATTCAATTTATCACTTTCTCTCTCCAAACCCAGATCACCAACATATAGGCTTGGATCCTCGGACGAATTGGATAGTTATGAAGCGAAGAGTGGATATTAAAATTTTGGTCAAATCTCACAGTTATGATTTATGACAATAAATAGATGGATTAAAATTAGATGGTATAAATTGGTAATTCTACAAATATGATTAGTTTCTAACCAGTTGTTTATCTATCTTTGCATTGAAAAATGTAATAGAGGGACTTATGACCGGTAACCCACATTGTCGCAACTATGTCCAATATGGAACTTTGAGGGATTAGTAGCTAATTATGTTTTTTGTTGAGGACCTATCTAAAACCCATAGAATTCTATACTTTCTTAGCTGCTTTATATTTTAATTTAATGATGGGTGGGATGTGGCTTATTCATACTTCCATTTGTTCAGGGACAGTGGCCTGTTCCTGTCTTGCCAAGGCTGACCATGCCTGGTCACCGCATAGATCCTCCATGCGGAAGGGCCTACTTGCAAATCCATCTGCTTCCTCTTGCTCAACAACGTCCTGTTGCTGATACAGAAACTGCATCAATGCATTTAAAACATTTAGCTGCAGCTGCTAAAGATGCTGTAGCTGAAGGGGGCTCAGTTCCAGGGTCAAGAGCAAAGTTGTGGCGAAGAATAAGGGAGTTTAATGCGTGTATTCCATACAGTGGATTGCCATTTAATATTGAAGTGCCCGAGGTTGTCCTGATGGCTTTAATCACAATGCTTCCAGCAACACCAAACCTTCCTCCAGAGGCTCCCCCACCTCCACCTCCTTCGCCAAAGGCAGCTGCGACTGTGATGGGTTTCATTGCATGTTTACGCAGGTTACTTTCCTCTAGGATCGCGGCTTCACATGTCATGTCATTTCCTGCTGCTGTTGGGAGAATAATGGGATTGCTAAGAAATGGATCTGAGGGTGTGGCTGCTGAGGCTGCAGGCCTTGTTGCCATGCTTATTGGTGGTGGTCCTGGTGATAATAGTATAATGGTTGACTCAAAGGGAGAGCGACATGCTACATTTATGCATACAAAATCTGTACTTTTTGCAAATCAGAGTTATGTTACTATTCTTGTGAACAGGTTGAAACCATCTTCCATATCTCCTTTACTGTCTATGTCGGTTGTGGAAGTTCTTGAAGCTATGCTTTGTGAACCTCATGGTGAAACAACACAACATACTACTTTTGTCGAATTATTACGTCAAGTGGCAGGTTTGCGGCGTCGTTTGTTTGTCTTGTTTGGCCACCCTGCAGAAAGTGTGAGAGAGACAGTTGCTGTCATCATGCGGACGATTGCAGAAGAGGATGCAATTGCAGCTGAGTCAATGCGTGATGCTGCTTTGAGAGATGGTGCACTTTTGAGACACTTGTCACATGCTTTTTTCCTACCTGCTGGTGAGCGACGTGATGTTAGCAGGCAGCTTGTGGCACTTTGGGCTGATTCTTATCAACCTGCTCTTGATTTACTTTCCAGAGTTCTTCCTCCTGGGCTTGTTGCGTATTTGCGCACACGTTCGGATGAGGGATCTGAATACGCACAGGAGCAATTAAATGAAGAAGCAAGTTTAAATAGGAGAAGGCAGAGGCGTATACTTCAGCAGAGGAGGGGTCGACCTGGAAGAACTATAGCATCACAGGACCATGTGACACCTTCTCTTAACACTATCGAAGAAAGTGATTTCACAAAGCATACTGGGAGTGCACCTCCACTAGGAACTGAAAACTCTCAGAGGCCTTACCAAGAGTCAAATTTTGTTCAATCTTCAGTTACCTCATCAGTCTCTCCATTGGGAAACGCCTTGGGTGAATCTTCCTATGCAGGATTTCATAATGCTGCCGTGGCGCCTGATTCTGGGGATACTGTTCTTCAGACTGCTGCGCCACAGGTGTCGAATTCAAATGCTTCAGAATCAGCTCAGTCAGATGCCATAAATTCTGACCTCCCTGCTCCCGCTCAGGTGGTTGTTGAGAACACACCTGTCGGATCTGGCAGATTGCTCTGTAATTGGTATGAGTTTTGGAAAGCATTTGGTCTAGATCACAACCGAGCTGACTTGATATGGAATGAACGGACAAGGCAAGAGCTTAGAGAATCTTTACAAGCAGAAGTTCACAAGTTAGACGTTGAGAAGGAGAGAACAGAAGACATTGTTCCTGGTTGTGCAATGGTTGAGATTACATCAGGGCAGGATAATGCACCTCAGATATCTTGGAACTATGCCGAGTTCTCAGTTAGTTACCCCAGCCTATCAAAGGAAGTTTGTGTGGGTCAATATTATCTTCGTTTATTGCTTGAAAGTGGAAGTAGTTGTCGTGCACAAGATTTTCCATTACGTGATCCTGCTGCATTTTTTAGGGCATTATATCACCGTTTCCTGTGTGATGCGGACATAGGTCTTACAGTGGATGGAGCTGTACCTGATGAGTTGGGTTCTTCAGATGATTGGTGTGACATGGGAAGGTTAGATGGTTTTGGTGGAGGTGGAGGCTCTTCAGTGAGAGAACTCTGTGCACGGGCAATGGCTATTGTCTATGAGCAACATTATAAAGTGATAGGTCCTTTTGATGGTACTGCTCATATTACAGTTCTCTTGGACAGGACCGATGACCGAGCATTGAGGCATCGACTACTTCTACTGTTAAAGGTAGCTCCATGAACGCAAATTTCTATACGTACAGTGTTTGGAAAAAAAAACCACCTGACGCACTTCTAATTTCCTCAAGTCATTCTGGGATGCTAGAAAAGTAACCCCCAATCAAATGCATAAGTGGATGGGAGGGTGCTTCGTTTGCTGAACATTTTGAACATCCCAGATATAGAATGGAATGTACCTTTTGAATTTGACATATAATATAAATCCCATGGATTAATCTTTGTTAAAACAAGCTTCATATGGCTTGTAAATATATGAAGCTTCTGTAGTTTACAGTTATGTCTCTAAGCATTGAGAGATCATCACATAATCATAATGCCCTTGTTCCATTACAACTTGGTTGTTGGCTATGGAGCATTTCTAAAGGCAGAGAATGTTCCACAAAAGAACTTACCCAACTTGCAAGGAATGACTATGAACCTGACATCAGTCTTCAAATGCTTCTAATTTTTTGGAGTTGTCATTTTATAGATGAATCATAAGTTTCAACTTTCAAGAGAGCTTGTCTCTGAAGATGTTTGATAGAGGAATATAAATGAAAAAGATGCTATGACAAAGTAAACTTTGTTCAGATAAGTAATCTAATGAATTAACTTTGGTACCAATGGCAATAAATCATCCAAGTAAGAGATATGTGCTTATTTTTGGGCACTCACGATTGTGTATTTTCATAGGACCGGCAAGGGCTCTTCTGCAAATGACGAGATCCTTGCATGAATGAATGCTGAATCTCATTCTTACTGTTTAATTAGCTGTTGTTGAATTTAAACATTGATTTTGATATTAGGTTTGTCCAGTTGAGTCTGTTTGTTTACTTGCATCCGTGGATGGAAGAAAACACTTCTTTACATTGTTAAAACATTATTGACTCAAATGATTTCATACTTTCATGTTTATATCTAGTGATTTGGCAAAATATTTGGTAATATGTGCTTTTTTTAATTGCTTTTTTTAATCCACCAAGGGTTAGTAAGACTAATTCTTATCCATCTGTTAAGCCCTAATTCTTTTGCTTTCTTGATAAAACTTCAGAGCCTTTTCTGTCAGTTCAAAATTCAGTGTTGTTTTCTGTAAGTGCAGGTCTTAATGAAAGTTCTTTCGAATGTAGAAGCTTGTGTGTTGGTTGGGGGATGTGTTTTAGCTGTTGATCTGTTAACTGTGGCTCATGAAGCTGCAGAAAGGACTTCTATACCTTTGCAATCCAATTTGATAGCAGCCACAGCTTTCATGGAACCGCTAAAAGAATGGATGTTTATTGACAAGGAAGGTGCACAAGTTGGGCCGATGGAGAAAGATGCAATCAGAAGATTTTGGTCGAAAAAAGCCATTGACTGGACAACTAAGTGCTGGGCCTCTGGGATGCCCGACTGGAAGAGACTACGCGATATTCGTGAATTGCGCTGGGCACTTGCAGTTCGTGTTCCTGTTCTCACTCCTGTTCAGGTATCTGCTATATGAATGAGACAGTTTTATACATAAGATTTCTTAATGTAGAAATGTTTAGTTTTGTAGAGGGGGGAAATTTTATAGTTTTAGTTTTGGATTATTCCATCTTTAGCTTTTGTTCTAGTTCAAATTTGCTGATTAATCATATCATTTTTTCTGGGTTTTTGGGCTATTACCATGGTCACTAAGGTGTATATTGTGACTAATTCGGAGGTTGAAAGGGTTCCAACTTACAAGTTACATGGTGTAATTGCTCTATGTTATTACAATTTACATGGTGTAGATGGATTTCATTTCTGTATAGCAATCTAAACTATTTTTCATGTGAATTTTATGGACATTCGAGTCCTTCGCGTTTTGTATAACCTTCGTAAGTAGACATTATTGTGTAGTTAGCCGCATATAGTATTAACCATTGTTTTACATATCCCCGATATGGCCCGATAAATAGTTCTAAATATCCTTTACCGCTTGTTGGCAATTTTTGGCGATATATCCCTGTGACAGCTGATATATCGACTGATATGTTGGCCAATATGTTCTTTTATATGGCTTGCTGCAAAACAATACACCTCTTTTGGCAATTTTTGGGAGATCATATTATGATTTTCCCAATATAACAAGTGACGTTTTGGCATAAAAAAAACCGAAATGTGGCAATGTCTATATAGACTCTTATTTATTTTCAAATGTTGATTATGATTCTAAACATATATTCTTTGCATTATTTTATATATGCACATCATCTGATATAACACTCCAATATTTACCACACATCATTGATTATATTTAGATTACAATTTAGGACATTATTTTATATATGCACATTATCAGAGTTAGCACTCCAGTATTTACCACATATCCCTAATATTTCCCTAATATTCGCAATTCGATATGAATTTGGGTCGTCCGATATATTACTAGGTGTAAATCATGGTCAGTCCCTTCTCCATTTGATTTGTGCTCAGGAACAGCTCTATCTGCATGGAATATGATTTTTTGGGCTCCCTGTTTTATTGCATATTAATTGTACCTGTCCATATTCTATTCTAGCTTCCAGCCTTTCTATGATGTTAAGACTCGATGAGCTTATTTACATATGAAAGTATGAAATTTTGTTATTTACTAGGTCATTGCATATTTAGGTGACACTCTAAATTGTCTATCTCCCTCGCTACTGTTTATTCTGGAAAGTAACATTTTCTAGTTCAGGTCGGAGATTCTGCGCTGTCTATATTGCATTTTATGGTGTCAGCACATTCTGATCTTGATGATGCTGGTGAAATTGTTACTCCAACACCTAGAGTAAAACGAATTTTGTCAAGCCCACGTTGCATCCCCCATGTTGCACAGGTAATTTTTTTTAAAGTTCTAATATTGTTTACTGCACAAAGATTTTTCTAAGCTGGTATTGTTCTGTAATAATTGACAGTCATCATAACATTTCTCTTGTATAAAACTAAGGGCAATAAATAGGGTACATGAACAGGATTCTTTCATGGCATATGGATTCATATTCAGTATGTTAACTTGAGACTTGAGAGCTAGCGGTCACAGAGATAAATTCTTTGGTTTTATGTATTGATACCACTTAACCTGTTATAGGTGAAATGTTTTCTACCTTGAGCCTATGTTGTGTAAGCATCTCATAAGAAGAAACTGTGGCCATAGCCATCTAAAATGTTGCACCTATCATTCTTCATTATTGAGTTGTTTTTGTATGTTTATATAATTTCCACAGTATTTGCGACGTATCGTGCTGCCAGACTTCTCTTGCTGCATCCTCAGTGTGCTTCTTTTACTATGATATTGTACATCTCATTTTATATAGTTTTACTTTATGTTTTTATATCAATTCCTGCATTTGTTTTTAACTTAAATACAGTCCTTGCAAATTTTGACAATATATTTTTGGGAAATAAATGTAGGCTATGCTTACTGGAGAGCCAAATATTGTTGATGGTGCTGCTTCCTTATTGAGGGCTATTGTAACTAGGAATCCCAAGGCAATGATTCGCTTATATAGTACAGGTGCATTTTATTTTGCTCTAGCTTATCCTGGATCGAATCTGCTTTCAATTGCACATCTCTTCTCTGTGACCCACGTCCACCAAGCATTTCATGGTGGAGAAGAAGCTGCTTTATCCTCGTCTTTATCATTGGCAAAACGTAGTGTATTGGGGGGACTTCTTCCAGCATCATTGCTGTATGTTCTGGAGCGCAGCGGACCAGCTGCTTTTGCTGCAGCAATGGTTTCTGATTCTGATACACCAGAGATCATTTGGACTCATAAGATGCGAGCAGAAAATCTGATTCGTCAGGTAATTGCAGCCATTATGCTATTGTATGAAAATTGTTTTTTGCCAATTTCTCACCATTTTGCTCAACTCTGATGGTCAATTATTCATTTCATTTTATTCTTTCGTTTTTCTCAGGTTTTGCAGCATCTTGGTGATTTTCCCCAAAAATTGTCACAACACTGTCACGCTTTATATGAGTATGCTCCTATGCCTCCTGTGACATATCCAGAGTTGAAAGATGAGATGTGGTGTCATCGTTATTACCTGAGAAATTTATGTGACGAGATAAGATTTCCCAACTGGCCCATTGTTGAGCATGTAGAGTTTTTGCAGTCACTACTGGCAATGTGGCGGGAAGAGTTAACTCGGCGGCCTATGGATCTTTCAGAAGAGGAAGCTTGCAAGATACTAGAGATCTCTCTGGATGAAATTCTAATTCGTGATAACACTAGCAACGGCCAGCTGGCAGATACCAATGATAACAGTACTACAACCAAGAAGATTGAGAACATTGATGAAGAAAAACTTAAACGTCAATACAGAAAGCTGGCAATAAGATACCATCCTGATAAAAATCCTGAAGGGAGGGAGAAGTTTGTTGCTGTGCAAAAGGCTTATGAGAGGTTGCAGGTATTACTTAGGTTTTGCAATCGATTGTTCAGTTGAACTATTTAAATTAGTATAGTAGTCAACATTTTGCGTTGAGTAGTTGTCCCATTATATCTTCTAGTTATTCTTGGAAAAAGAACAATGTTTTTGTTTTTGTCCATCTGGTGCATATTACACTGTGCTGCATGCCAGTATAGTCCGTTTATGCTACTAGTGTAGATGCATTTTCATTTTTAATATGAGGCTGGAGCAGGTGGTTGTGGTTGTTGGCAAGGTTGCAGAAAGCGCTAGGCGGCCTATGCGGGAGCCTAAGCAGTTTTCTTATTTTTTATTTTTTAATTACAATAATTGATAGTTAATGCCAATGCTATAGAAAGCTTAGATGCCGGACTGCAACGAATTTTTTTGTTTGTTTAATTGGTGGTAGATGAGGTTTTGCTGAAGGTCGGAGGACGTAGAGTTGGTTTTCATAGTTGGAGGCTGGAGGAGCCTGGATGATGTGGAGACTGCAACGAAAGAAATCACGATCAAGGCCTAAAGTGTGCAGTTCATAGTTCCCTAGGTGCTCCCAAAACCTAGGGAACAGCCTAGGTATCACCTAGGCGCTAGGCGGGCAGCCTAGGTACAGCCTAGGCCTATGCGTACGCCAAACAAACATTCGTTGTTGGTGTTCAATTAGCTGATTTCATGTTCTGTATGTAAAGTAAAACAAAATATGATTATTTCCATTGGTTTGTTTCAGAATATGTCAACAGGAAAGCATAACACCTAGCATTCTATGTTTTCTGTAAATCGTTTCTTTTCAAAGTTATAAGCTCATGCCTTATACCTGCAGGCAACCATGCAAGGCTTGCAAGGTCCACAAGTCTGGAAATTGTTGCTTTTGTTGAAGGGTCAATGCATCCTGTACAGGCGGTATGGGGATGTCTTAGAACCTTTCAAGTATGCTGGTTATCCCATGCTGCTGAATGCGATCACTGTGGACAATGATGACAGCAATTTCCTTTCATCTGAGAGAGCCTCTCTTCTGGTTGCAGCTTCAGAACTAATTTGGCTGACGTAACAAGAATAGCTCTTAACTTTTCCTATTTCCTTTATATCGTGTCAGCTAATTAAGATTATGAATTAGAAATGAGTGATGTGCATTTTATAAGCTTGGTTTCCTTTTTCTCAGATGCGCATCATCTTCATTAAATGGCGAAGAGCTTATTAGAGATGGGGGTATACCTCTTCTTGCTACACTTCTTTCCCGTTGTATGTGTGTAGTTCAGCCTACTACGCCTGCAAACGAGCCTGCTGCTGTCATTGTTACGAATGTGATGCACACTTTTTCAGTCTTAAGTCAATTTGACACTGCAAGATCTGAGATGCTCAACTTTGGGGGGCTTGTTGAGGATATTGTGCATGCTACTGAATTGGAGCTTGCCCCATCTGCTGTTGATGCTGCCCTCCAAACTGCAGCGCATCTTTCTGTATCATCTGAATTGCAGAATGCTTTACTTGGGGCTGGTTTATTATGGTAAGCTTCAGTTGGAAGTCCTCATTCATGTTTCACTTGTATTTTCTGGAGAAATAAGGCGGATTTCGTAGTACTTAGTTCTGCTATACACTCGGCACACTTTCCAACTTGTTAATTCAAGAAAGAACAAGTTCTATTACAAATGTGAATTTTTTTTATTCTTGGTTTTTCCATTTGTCATATATTATGTAGATACTTCCCTCTATCTTTCTTTTATCATCAGTAGTTGGTTTTTGTATTTTCCTTACCTTCGCAAATGTTAGAGAGTATCATGAGTTTTCCCTTTTCAGGTACCTATTACCTTTGCTACTTCAGTATGACTCTACTGCAGAGGAGAACGATATGAACAAGGCGCCTGGTGTTGGTGCTAGTGTGCAGATTGCTAAAAACATGCATGCCATTCGTGCATCTCAGGCTCTTTCAAGACTATTTGGTCTCTGCAGTGAAGAAATATCAACTCCATATAATGATTCAGCTGCCACTGCACTTAGAGCTTTGCTTACTCCAAAGCTTGCCAACATGTTAAAAGACCAGGCACCAAAGGATCTTTTGTCTAATCTGAACTCGAATTTGGAGTCTCCAGAAGTAAGTTTTTTTTAAAAAATTTTAATTCATGTCAACACTGGCATT